GCCATGCTGAGGCCGCGTCCCACATACAGCAACTAGAAGGATGTGCAGCTGTGACATACAACTACCTACTGGGGCTTTGGGGAAAAATAAATAATAAAATAAACTTAAAAAAAAAAAAAAAAAAGGGAAGGAGTGCCTTTAAGGATCTTGTCCAATCCTCCTCTTTTACAGATAAGAATTTTGAGATCTACGAAGTCTAAAAACTTCCCTTAGGACCTTCAGCAAGTTAGAAACAGAGCAGAGATTAAAACACAGGTCCAAAGATAATGCTGCTATTTGCTCTACCCCACACTACTCAACAGCTCTTTGATTACAGCTATTTTAAACCAAAGCTATATGTTTTATACATTCTAAAGTTACAAAAACAAAACTTAGAAAGATATTAGTGTCATAAAAAGAATCATTCATTCTACTAATAATCAAAATTCTAGGGCCAGCCCCGTGGCTTAGCGGTTAAGTGCTCCCGCTCTGTTATTGGCAGCCCGGGTTCGGATCCTGGGCGCGCACCGACGCACCGCTTCTCCGGCCATGCTTAGGCCGCGTCCCACATACAGCAACTAGAAGGATGTGCAACTATGACATACAACTATCTACTGGGGCTTTGGGGGAAAAAAGGAGGATGATTGGCAATAGATGTTAGCTCAGAGCCGGTCTTCCTCAGCAAAAAGAGGAGGATTAGCACGGATGTTAGCTCAGGGCTGATCTTCCTCACACACATAAAAAAAATTCTAAAGCTTATTTACACAAATCTTGACAATAAACTAAAGTAAAGGGTTAACATTCATGGAAAATAGAGAGTATACTCATATTTTATTTGGCCAATAACAAACCTTATCCCTCAATGCAACTTAAAATGAACATATTCTATTCCATAAAGCAGATTGACATATCTGATCAGCACCTAACTTCCTGGTGAAAACGTTTTGTTCTTGTGAAGAAACACAAATAAAATGAAATTTCAAATCTGTAAAGAAAAATAGTAGTATCTAAAATATTGGGACAAGAAAACCAACAACTCAAATTAGAAAACTGCTTTCATCTTCATATTTATGAGACACAGTATTCCTTTCCTTAGTGTCAAAAGGAGGAATCATACAAAGAATCATACATTTGGAGTCAAAAGATCATGACTGCTCCTTGGAGAAATGACTGATTCTAGGGCTGGGGCAGGGAAAACACAAGATGAGCCTGGACCATCTTATAGTGTCAGAAAGACAGAGCCCAAAAAGATAAAAGGATGGGCATGTCACACATGGAGTCAATCTGGAAAATCTCCCAATGGTCAGAGCTGGAACAATTCGTATAAAATAAATAATACAAAAATAAATACAGTAATGTGGATTAGAGCTCCAAGTATAAAATAAATATACGTGAGTTCATACTGATATAAGCAAGGATTAAATAAACAACCAGGGAGAAGGGACAAATGCTCCTTACAGAAGAATTCTAAATACTATATGCAGATACTCCTTCCTCCAGGAGGTAAAGCTTAATTCCCACTGCTTGAGGACAGGCTGGACTAGAAACTCCAAAGAATTGAGTCTGGGAAAGGAAAAATCCTACCTTCACTGTGGAGAGACCTGGTGAGCACCAGCTGAACCATGTGGTGAAGGTTAACATCACCAGGGATGTTGCGTGGGCACTGTGCACCCTGCAATGATGTGATGAGAAGGGCACTTCACCTGTGTGATAGTCTTCCCCCAAACCCAAAACCTCAGTCTAATCGTGAGGAAAACACCAGACAAAGCCAAATTAAGGGACATTCTACAAAGTACTCTTCAAAACTGTCAAGATAATGAAAAATACAGAAAGACTAAGAAACTGTCACAGATCAAAGAAGACTAAGGAGACTCGTGTTCAG